TCAGAAACGTCTCAGAGTCGGCAAAAATTTTAAACCGTAAGTCCTAATCCTAACTGTAGATTCCGCTGCGTTAGGATTTATTATTCAATAGATTTGAATGTGCACATTGTCGACGTTCCTAATAGAACCCAACACCACTGAGCAGCTCTAACAACATTATCAGTACTAGCATAAATAAAGGCTGCCCAGACAGAAATATCCAAACCCTTGAACTTAAAACAGACCTCTATCCCAACCCCTAAATTATTAATCTCAAGAATAGAAATATTCTCTGACCAAGACAAAAAAAAAGCCCCTCTCTACTACCCACAGGGCTCACATAATACCAATTATCAATCAACTTAAGCTTCTTACACATAGAAATAACAAATTTTTATTTTTTTTTTTTTGTTTCAGATAAAAAGGCAAAATAAGGGTGGTGGAGCTTTAAAGCTTCCTTGAACTGGGAAATTGTAGAGGGGCCTCCAAAACCTCTATAATTCCACACAGAAACATTCATTGGAAACTGTGGGACCAGTTATGGCTGGTTTCCTCCACCTCAGATAAAATCATATCCCCAGACAATTTAACTTCCTTAACTATTTGCAACTCACTATCACCTGCCAAACCCACCTCCTGCAAGTTCTCATTGCTCCTCTTAAGAGAGCCCTCCCTTCCAATCTTAATACCAGAAGTCCCAACCTTGTCAACCTGCATGCTAACTTGAGCAATAGGTTTCCTAAGTCTAGGTTTTCTGGTAAAAGTGGCCTTCTTACCCTGATTAGCCTTCCCTTTAACAGGAGAAGATTGGACAGCCACATCAACAAGGCTAGGATCATCCATGAGGGAGATTCCAGTGACTATGATAGTATCACCCTGAATATTATCAGCAGGGCCCACCTCATTCACATGAGTTTTTGGGTCTATAGTCAAAGGAATCACAGGGTGGTTGCTAACACAAACATTACAAATACAAAGAGTTCCACATCTAATAATTTTACGAAATGTGGGCATGACATTTGACCTAACATTACAAATATAAAGAGTTCCACAACTAATAATTTTTGGGGAATGTGAGCATGACATTTGAACTCGTGCCTTGGAAGAGAGTATTTTCAAGACATCGGCTAATTCATGTTGCTTTCTCAACTACATAGTACAATGCATTGTTTTCAATACCGTATCGGTATTTATGCGGATACGCGGTTCAATCTGTTTTACCATTTATTTTATTAGTTTCAATAAATATTAAGTAATTTATTATTATGATATAAATAATGTATAAAAGTAACTTTAATAAATACTCATATTAAAATTAAGTGTAGAACTTTCAGTTTATATAAATAAATTAATTACAGTATATTAAAGATATAAATTGTTTTTAAAAAAACCAATATAAACCGCCATTTTGACCGATTTCTTGTTATATATTTTCTGGTATAAATTGGTATTTTGACCATAATAATATTTAAGTTGAACCGCACCGGCTACCTAGACCACCGTATCTCATATTGCTGGTATGGTATTTAAAACATTGATACCGTGTGCATATGTCGCTATTGATTTATGTCCATTAGTAGCTATTTAATCTTAGATTGAGTGGGTGGATTGAGTGAGACCCACTAAAAATAAAAAAAAAATCAAGTGGACCCCACTCCGTGATAGTATTTAATGGCAAATACTTAGGTGTGCCCTGGCACACCTAGCAAGGTGTGCCAGGGCCTTATGTGAAATACATTTCTTCTACAGGCGCGTGAGAGAGGTAAGGAGGTAAGTGTTTTTTTTAAATGGGACATGTGTCCCATTTTTATTGGGTAATGAATTTCATTTATCATATTATATAAATTAAATTATCATTCATATTTTGTATCAAAAAATAAAAATAAAAATACCAAAATTCATAATTTTTCATTCTCTACAAATAGAGACCACATTTGATATTTTTCTGGAACACAATTAATTTATCATTTCTTACAATTAATTTATCTTATTAGAAGATTATGACGCAAATCTATAATTAGATGAATATGTTACATAGTAAAATGAACATGTTATAGAGTAAGATGAACATGTCATAGAATAAGATGAAAATGTTACATTTTCACAAATTAAATTTAGATGAACATGTTCTAAAGTAAGATGAACGTGTTACATAATAAAATAACATGTTATAGAATAAGATGAACATGTTACATAATATAATGAACATGTTATAGAATAAGATGAACATGTTACATGCACAATAAGGTGAACATGTTACATAAATAAAATGAACATGTTATATAATAAGATGAACATGTTACATAATAAAATGAACATGTTATATAATAAGATGAACATGTTATAGAATAAGATGAACATGTTACATAATAAAATGAACATGTTATATAATAAGATGAACATGTTACATACACAATAAGGTGAACATGTTACGTAATAAAATGAACATATTAAATAATAAGATGAACATTTTACATACACAATAAAGTGAACATGTGACAAAATAAGATGAATATGTATTGTTTCAATCTACAATCTGTAACATGTTCATCATATTTAAAAACATATTCATTTTATTATGTAACATGTTCATTATATGTCAGTATAATAAAATAATTACGAAAAATTATGAAAAATTATGAAAAAACGAAAAATTAGTTGTGTTCAAAAACCTATCAAATGTGGTCTCTATTTATAGATAATGAAAAATTATGAATTTTGGTATTTTTATTTTATTTTTTTAATATAAATAACTAATGATATTTTAATTTATGTAATAAGTCCCTTTTTTAATTAAAAAGAAAAATTGGGGATGTGAACTACACTCTCCAAATTTCTCTAGTATTGGGTAGTTTTGGAGAGTAAAAGGGCGCGTGCAAATGTGCCCTGGCACACCTAGCTAGGTGTGCCAGGGCACACGGTAGTGGTACTGGTATTTAATCTCTTATCCCGCAAAGTCCTAAATTATGTTATGTTTGTATAGTGATACACATGTAAAAGTAAGGGGACAGCCTTCTAATTGTTTTACATCAAAATAATGCATCCAACTCAAAATTCCTTATCAACCATTTTACTTCAATTTTACACCAAAGTGCATATATCTTAATATCATTTCATCCAATGCCAGCAATCAAAATTCTTCTATAAATGATGACGCATTAGTTACTACCATGAAGAATAGAACTATAATTTCACATTGTATAAAAAGCTTATAAAGATCCTTGCAGCCCCCAACCATGAACACAGTTACGACTTCAAAATATACACACAGTTAAATAACATACACAATCGCATCTACAAACAAACAAATACCACACGCCTTATGCACACAAGCTAATAAAATTAACAAATAAATAAGCCATTATGAACCAAATTACCACAAGACATCTGCCCAGATATGCACACAGGACAGCAAAAGATTGCAAACTTATAATTCAAATTAGAACATGTATATAGTATAAGCGTCCCGTTTCTTTTCCTGGTTTAAAAACAGCCAAGCAGTTTCTTTGGAGCTGTTCCGGTTGCTCGATATTTTGCTGCTACTTCCTCTGCTTTGAGAAGGTCTTCACCACGTTTGGCTTCAACGATTGCACGTTTTTCTTCCGCTTGCTTGTGGATTAGAGCAACCTTGTTCTTCATCTTCTCTATCTGTTCTGCTTTCTTCTTCTCCAGTTGCTCCTACACAACATACATATGCATGTGGAGTTATATGGTCATATGTCTTTAAAGGTTGTAATACAAATGGCATAATCGGAACACAAATCATTATCAATGTATAATTTACGAGACTTGCTTGACATTTTCCGGAATAAGAATTAACTCCTTGGGGTCATAAGAGACACCATAGGGATTCGAAGTTTACCCCTTGTAACTGAAACTTTGTTTATATACCTCAATCTTCTTCAGCTCCGCCTCTAAATTCGCCTTCTTACTGTTCTCCCAAGCTCCAATTGCAGATATTTTCTTTTGGGCCCTGTAAAATACAATATTTTCTTTCAATATCCGGTTCATCTTTAGTCAGCTTTCTAGTTATTTGTTTATCAACACTGGACAGTAGTTTAGTCTTTCTTTTTGTTTGTTCATCTTGTCTTCTATATCTTCACAATATAATATAACACAAAAATTCTATTATGCAAGATTATCATTCATGTTCATTTATTTCACGAATCTTAATACTCACAACAGCTGCCATCACTCAACAGCCTGATATTTATTATGTCTGGCCGTTTGAGGGCTAAAAGTTAAGTACACTATCCATTCATAAAAGCTCAATACAGCAAAGTTTATTTATATAGTATGTAAAACCAGCTCATACAGAGAAGTAGTGTAAAAGATGCAAAACAGATGAGGCTATTTTTGTAATGTCATGGGAATCAAAAGTTTTGTCGGTTCATCTTAAGGTAAACCACAGATGTAAACGTTGTTCATTAATCGTAACTAGTGTATAGCTCGTGCACTACACAAGTCATGAAAAACTGTAGGATCGTTATATATTTTGAAATGTCATACTTCTTTCCGATTGTTATTAGTATGTAAATAGATTAAGTTAACTGAAATGACACGACAGAGAGCTCGGGAAAGAGAAAAACACTTACTTATTTTCAGCCTTCGACTTCTCGCTTTCTTCCCATGCTTTTGTCAAAGAAAATCTCTTTTCTGTCGCAACCCGGGCAAGTACAGCATCTGATGAAAATTTTCGGGGAATAGATGATTTTAGATTCTGGTTCACTACTTGTGTTTAGAGTTAATAGTGCACCCAACATATATAACATCATATTTCAGTTTTCACAAACTATACCTCCATGAGGTATCCATTAGTTAAACAAACTGTGCTCATAAATGAAGACTGTCTGTACTTCTAAAAATCATTGAAAATAATTGTAATTATTTATATACCTTCATGTATTTTCTGTAATTATTCATAAACCTGTATATAAACCCCATCAAGATAAAAGTAAGCAGATGAGTACCTCTGTTTATAGAGCCCTCTGGGTTTTTCTCCTCAGCTGCTTCTGAGTCTGTATAAATTATATGTGTAGTAAAACAGAGTTTTTGGAAGTTATAGGACAAAAGGATTTATTTATTTATTTTTTACCAAAAAAAGAGAAGCAGTTGAACTTAATGGCAATGAAACTTGATATTCACCAAGTAACACAAGGTTTTTCCTTTCTATGGACACTTCTAATAGCACCAAAATATACATAAAAAAAAAATGTGATGGAGCCAACAAAAGATTATATAAAATAAAAAACTGCAATGGATAGAAATAAAATTGTTCTCTCCAAATAAATATTAACTTCCAAATCTAAAATTAGCAAGTTACCAAAACAATTTAAGCAAGAGAAGTTACAACTAAAAGAGCAGCTGAACGCTGTTCAATTAAACGAGCCGAGCTCGAACTTATTTAAAACTCGTCGGTTAACGAGCCGAGCCGAGGAGATAATGCTCGAATATATATATTTTATTTAATTTTTTATAGTTTATTAAACCTCGAACTCGGCTCGAGCACCCTAAGCTCGAGCTCAGCTCGGCTCGTTTACAGTCCTACGCGCCAGCTCCAACCGGTAGGCTGCAAAATACAGAAAAAGTTGCATAGGGAGAAATAGTAGACCACAAAATCACCTTAATCGGAAATAAACATAGATAAGACGATACTCATGCGCACATCCTTACACCGGCCACCAAATTTTCCACTCAAAAAGATGTTTGAGAAGCAAAAAAATCATAGAAATTTAGCACAGACAATTTACTTTCAACTACGAGAAGCGCTTTCTCCTCCGATACGTCGTTTGGAGCTTCAACCTTTTCCTCGGAAGCCTCCGTCTCGACTTTGTTGAGTTGCTCCTCTGCCATTACCTCAGAAAACTTTTTAGCTAATCCTTGGGGAGATGGGATGGGACAACTGAACTCGAAACAAGGAAATGAAGTAATTATATGAACGGATATGATTGATTGATTGTGCGTTGTTTGTGAGATTGGATGTGAGATTCTTTTCGGAAGGTTTTGTATCGTTTTAAAAGATGAAAAATATGGAATATAATAAAAAAATGCTAAAAGAAAAAGTGAGATAGATTTCATACTATGAATTTGGTGAGATAAAATTTAATCATTAAAATTGAAGTTAGAGAGAAAAAAAGATTGGTAAGGGTGACAATTTTGACTTTAGCATTGTCTAAGTTCTAACCTATTGCTTTTAAGGTGGGTAAGACCCGTTTCGAGTTTTTAAAACGAGCCAAGTCTAAACTGGTTACAATCTTGGTCAAGGTGCGACAGTCGGCTAGGTTCGCGGGTCAAGTTTGGCATGGAACTACCTGCCCCGACCTGATAAATTGACATGCTTAATTGATTGTGATTACTAGTAGAACAGGCCCGACCCGAAGGGTCGACGAACTTAATAATATGGAACTAGAACCACTCTAGGGGAAATACAGTTCCAGTTACAAATTCTGACGGTCCCGATCCAAGTTTTGGCCCATCAGTTCCACTTTGATCGTTGTGACTCAATTTCAATGGTTCCAAACAAACCAGTCTGATACAGTCCATGATTGGAACGAACCCACCAATTTCGGTTTCGATTTAACTAGCGGGTCGTTAATTATTGAGGCTCGGAATCAGCCCATCAAAAACATATGCCAGATCCCAGGTCGGGTCTAAATTCCATGGTTAAAGAGCTTACCTGGTTGGTCAACAGCACAATCCCGGTGAATCAGCAACGTTATGGCTTGTTGGCCATGTGTAATTTTGTTGGCCACGTTTAAATGGTAATTATAATTATGTAAGTAAAGGAATAATATTAATTATATAGATAAAATAAATATTATTAGTATAAAAATAATTGTTTATATGTAACACCCCGCTATTTCATGAATTACAGAGTGCGCTTTTCGCAAATTTTCTAAAATAAAGTATTTAATTTGCGAAATCTGATTCGAGGTGTTACCGTAAAATCTATCTTGAGAGCATGAACAACTGCGGCCAACTCCAAGTCGTGCGTCGGATAGTTCTGTTCATGTGGCTTGAGCTGACGTGAAGCATAGGCAACGACCTGGCCATCCTGCATGAGTACACATCCTAAACCCTGTCTCGAAGCATCGCTGAAAACGGTGAAACTCCGAGAAGGATCGGGAATAGCCAACACCGGTGCTGAAGTTAATCTCTTCTTGATCTCCTGAATTTGCGCCTTAAGCTCCTGCAACTCCTTCGGCGCCATACGATACGGGGCTTTGGATACTGGGCCGGCTCCTGGAATGAGATCGATAGAGAACTCCACCTGCCGGTTAGGCGGTCCTCCTGGAAGTTCGTTTGGGAACACGTCCACAAACTCACGAACGACTGGAACATCGTGAGGTGTTCGTTCTTTCTGAGAAACATCGACAAGGCTTACCAGATAACCCTGGCAGTTGCCTCGTCATAGCATCTTGGTGGCTTTCACCATCGAAACGACATGAGGTAATGAACGATTCCTGGTGCCAAAGAAGGTAATTGAATCGTCTCCCGGAAGATAGAGAGTAATCACCCGGTCATGACATCGGATATCTGCATGATAAAAGGATAGCCAATCCATTCTGAGAATGAGGTCAAAGTCCCTCATCTCAAGAACATACGCGTCGGTAGACAATGAACGACCACCGATGGAAAGGCTGAGATCTGAAGCTTTAGCTATATTCCCTATCTTTCGTCCCGAGGCTAAACTCACCTCGAGAGGATCGACAGCGGTGATAGCATGAACTCTGATGGCATCAAGACATCGTCGTGAAATAAAAAAGTGCGTCGCTCTAGTATCGAACAAAGCGAAAACAGGAACATTATTAAGTATAAGCATCCCTGACATGGTACCTGGATGCTGCTCTGCCTCGGCCTGATCAACTGACTCGGGCCTGCTGTCTGCCCCTCTGCTGCTGCTTTGGTGGCCTCTGAGCCTGCTGACGGGGCTGCTGCTGCTGCTGTGGTGGCTGCTGCTGAAGTTTCTTCGTACAGCGGCTAACAAAATGTCCGGGCTCGTGGCAGTAGTAGCAAATATCCTGGCCCATGTGACACTCTTCGCGATGAAGACGTCCACAAGTAGGGCACTGTGGAATCTGCTTCTGTCTCTGTCAGGTCCTCCTATCAGTCTGGGCGCCCTTTCCCTTCCTCTTCTTCTCCTTCTTCGGCTGGGCGGCTGGGGGAACTGATGGAGCTGTGGATGACTTGGCGGGGGCAGATGGTTGAGAACGGTCGCGGCTTGCCTCCCTCCGGATGCTGGCGTCCACCTCCTGAGCAATCGAAACAGCACGAGCATAGGTCTGGGTCCCATGGCCTACAATGTTGTGACAGACTGCTGGGTAAAGCCCGTCAATGAAGCGTTGTGCCCTCTGTGCCTCCGTACGAACCAAGTCCGGAACAAAAGCTACAAGTCTAGTAAACTCCCTCTCGTACTCATCAACAGAACGAGTACCCTGCTTGAGCGACAGGAACTGACGCTCTATCTCTGCTCGGTAATATGTGGGATAGTACTTCTCGCGGATTAACTCCTTGAGTCTCTCCCAGGTACAACCCTCTTTCTCACTGGGACGCATGCTCCAATAGGCATTCCACCAGAGTCGCGCATCACCGGTTAGCTGAAGCTGAGCGCATATAACGCGATATCTATCTGGACAATCCATGACCTCGAAAATCAACTCAAGGCCCTGAATCCACTCGTCCACAATACGGGGATCTCCTTGATCGGAGAATTTCTCAGGATGATAGTCGCGAAACTGTGCGTCTACTGTGGCCTGGGGAAGAACCGGGTGATCAGGTTCCCTACGGGGCGGCATCTGAACATTGAGAAAGTTCAATATTATTGAACACATGAAAAATACTTTAACTGATTACTAAGGTACACAAATCTCTTGACGAGTTTCCAAACATGGCTGGGAAATACTGACATGAATCCTGAGGAAATCTAGAGTTATATCTGAGTACACTGATCTATAAGTTCTGAACCTGATTCGAGCATCTTAACTAAATCATGATTAATAAATTTCTGAGCATAGACAAAGTAATTTGTTTATAACTGAAAAACATAAATCAGCGCTTACCTGTAGTCGGCGAGGCGTGAGCATGACGGTTCAGTTTTTTCTGAAAATTTCTGACTTGTAAAAAAAACTTTTCAGAGACGCAGAAACATGCTCTGATACCAATTGTAACACGCCGCTATTTCCTGAATTACAGAGTGCGCTTTTCGCAAATTTTCTAAAATAAAATATTTAATTTGCGAAATCTGATTCGAGGTGTTACCGTAAAATCTGTCTTATTCTGAAAACTGTTATTACAGTTTAATAGTAAAACGGTTATATAACATGATAACCGACTAACGTCGGAGAAAAAACTGGTTTAGAGTACTGAAAACAGTAGCGGAAACATAGCGTAGACAAACATAATATATAATATAAACAAATGTCCTGAACCGATCGCCCGCTCACTCCTCGGCTCCGACTCTGTGACCTGAAAAACATGAATAATGTGGGGGCGTGAGCACTAATCCACTGTGCTCCACAGAAACTCATACTTAAGTAAACAGTGAAAATAATTGCAATATCATGATCCTGGTATATACATAACGTGAACATGAAACCGGTAATAAACATGAACCTGATAATCATCACATGAACCATGACCGTTACCTCATCTGCCAGCATAAAAATGTCGGACACCATGTGCACACTCTAGTGGGCAGACTAAGGCCACTAGAACCCAGAACGGACCGACGACCATTCCGAGCGGATACATGACATGAAATACATACCTCAAACATGGTACCGTAATTATAATTAATGTAATACCCAGTCTGAGTCCCCACCTGATCCGTGAAAATGAAAAGGCAGTGCTGATATCTGATGCCTGGTCAAACTGAAATATAATATAAACAATTACTAAGTACTATGCTCAGACTGATAAATTAACTGATTAATATGTTAAGATGCCTTACTGGACTTGACATGATATTTAGACTCAACCGGTATAACTAAAACCGGTTAAATACGGAACTGAACTGATATTAATTTACTTAACTGAACTGGACCCGGAATTTTAACTGAAAAATGATATTTAAACATGAACCAGGAC